CCGTCGTGTGACTCATACGAGTTTACTTATACGAACGGACTGTGTTCCTATGAGTCACGTGTTCTATTCCCAATTAATTATGATTATGCAAATCCCCTTTAATGTCTCTATGTATATGTTGAAACTTGACTAATGCATGGAATAATAATGCAACACAAAATGTACTTAGAACAAAATGTATTGAAACAAGAAAGTGTACACAATATTTACATATAGTCTTTTGTATATTCCTGGTAAGACCGTTCCTGGAGAATGTGTTGACTGAGTCGCAGTCGGGCAGAGTCTCTGGATTGAATCTCTTGATTCCTCCCTCTCTTCCCGGTACCAACCATATTTATATGGTCGGTACTCCACTATGAAAATTAGGTGGAGCCTACTACAACAGTATATATATATCACTGCTTGAACCGGCTTTTAATGCTCCGGCTTGAGCGGTTTGTGGATATATAAACACACACACACACACACACACACACACACACACACACACACACACACACACACATATATATATATATATATATATAAGCCTAGTGAGCCAGACAAACCTACCCAGGTTTCACCTTAGTGAATCGTCAGAGAAAGCTATAAATATGCTGTTTTTATTTCGCCTCTTTAGCCAGCTTTCCCTGACAATCCGCTTAGGTTTATCTGGCTCACTAGGTTTCTCTAGGTCTGCTCTACGGTTGTATTGAGCTCTTTTGTTAGTTAGTTGCTTACTCGTATAGGTTTTTTTTTCTTTGGGCTTCAAACCTGTATCTGTGCGATTTTTGTTCGACAGACTTTCATGTTTCTAGCTCTTTCTTTTTTTAAAACCTTTTTTTCCCTCGAGATTGACTTGATTATTGGCAAATCAAAAATTCGAAGGTTTTTCTAAACGAGTATAGTTATCTATATTTGTATTTATATATATATATATATATATATATATATACTGAGCATTTAACCCCAAGCAAGGCGTGAGTGCTTTTAGCACGCAAAGGGTTATAGAGAGGTAAGGGTAAATGAAAATATTGGGATTGAGGAAAGGATAAAGAGACGGGCAGGCATCAAGATAAAGGCATCAGAAAATGTCGATTGGCATTACATTAAATTTTTGAAGATTATAGTTATCAGAGTAGCAAGTAAGAGAAAGGGAGTTCTACTGTCGGTAAGTTCGAGAGAAGAAGCTGTTGGAGTAGAAGAGGCGGTTACATTTAACTGTTTCGACAGTAAAAGCGTGGGACCGAGATGACAATCTAGTAGCCCGATTAAATTCGTAGAGTCGGAGCAGAAGTGAAAATAGATCGTCAGAGCAGATGCCATGAAAATATTAGTAGAAAAGACAGAGGGAAGCCACATCATGTCTGTGAGAAAGTGACTGTAGACGCGATGACCGGTCAGGACCTGTGACATTGCATATCCGACTTTGGATTTTGTCAAGAACCTCGAAACAAATAGCGAGGGCACCAGACCATATATGGCAGCAGTATACCATGCATGGACAAATGGTAGATTTATAGATGTTAAGGATGGACTTAGACAAGACAAACCTCATGGCGTGACACAGAGAACCAATTTTCGTTGCGGAAAACTTGAGACATTTCCTTCTTCAGTCAACCTCAGATTGGAGGACTTTTTCTTGACCAATGGCCAGGATTTGCCGATCTTTGCTGTTATTATTACGAGCTTGGTATACAAAATCAGTTATGGTCGTACGCACGTCAGCGGTTGACCGGACAAAGCGGAAATCATATTGTTGTCAGAAAGTAAATCGGGGAGGTAAGGTGCTTAACCACTTCGGCATTAATTAAACCTCGAAAACATTGTCGAAGTGTGGTAGGAGACTGATAGACCGGCAGTTAGATGGGTCAAAACGGTTTTCAGAGTTCTTGAAAACAGGCACAACACAGGAGGACTTTCGACAGACTGGAAAGCAAAATTGAGTGAAGCAATAGTTGTATCGTTTGGCGAGAACTGGAGCCAGCTCCGGAGTAAGTTTCTTTAGGACTACGTCCGGAATCCAGGCATCACCACTTGCTTCATTAGAATCTAATTTAGATATGACATCGACGGTATTTTGTTCATCTCACTCAATACAGCCTCAGTTCTAAGGGGAAAATCATGTCTGGGTACTCTAGACAAGTTGAGTTGGAAGAGAATTTCCGAGCAAAGTATTCAACCTTATCAGCTGTGGATGTTAGGACTTGATTGAATAGTGGACGGATTGAGGATTTGCTGTAGTGTAGTTCAGCACATTCTTGTAGAGCCGCCGATAATCTTTAAAAGTAAACTTGTAAGATACAATACATTTTTTCATTCTATCAGCAAATAGTAACTTTACGTCATTGAGGACACGCTTACACTCATTACGAGCAGAGACAAAGAGACATCTGTTGCAATCAGACATATCGCTCCGGTACAAACGGAAGAAGTGATTCCTATGGGGTATAGCAGGCGAGCAAGCAGGTGAGAATCAAGGAGATGAGCGCGATTTAACTTTGTATTTTCTTGCTGGGATGAAAACCTCGATGTCGGCTTTTAACCAGGAGTATACTTCAGACGAACATTTTTGAACGGGATGATTAAGAACCACATTCCAAGGAATGTCGCGAAGGACATCACGGAACGACTCCCACTCTGCTCGTTGGTAACAGAAAGATATTCTGTTAGTAGGATGAACGGCTGGAGGGGAAGTGAAAGGAGACGTTAACAGACACTACCGCGTGATCAGAGTCGCCCGGTGGGCAGAGCTGCGTAGCGCGACAAGTGTCGGGGATGAAGGTAAAACAGAGATTGAGAATGGAATCTTTAACATCAGGTTTACTGGGGAAATGCATCGTCACCTAACTGCGTGAGGGATTGAGTGAATGAAGGTTTTGATACCAGCGAGGTTAGTTACAGAGTGTTTAAACCACATGGTATGGTGGGCGTTAAAGTCACCGAACACGAATATCTTAGTAAACGGATGTAGAGAAATGGCCTTGTCTATATTATCGGAAATGCTATCGAGTACACAACAGTCTTGAGAGGAAGAGGAACGGTAGAGAAAGAAGCGACAGCTTACGGAATTGAGGAGAGATAGACGGAGACACATACACGAATGATCCGGAGATGTCAAAGAGAGTTACCTAACCAGCGGGAGATGATCGTGAATATAAACTCTCAAGCCATGCATGTGGATTTTTGAGTCTTTTTTAAGGAGAGGAAGGTAGCCAGAAATCGAGAAAGAGGAAGGAATTGATGAGTTAAGAGAGCTAGTATATCAGGAGAATTATCAAAGAGAAACGAGAAGTTGGCACGAATACCACAAAAACGAGAAGTTGGTACGAATACCACAGATGTTGGAAAAGGAAATGTTAAAGGGTTTAGGTGATATTTTGAGCTGGTTTAGATTTATATTTTGGGTTGCTTATGGTCATGTTGAATTACGTTGGAAAGGAAAAGCAGTCGGTCATCAAATGGTGCAGATTGCAACATAATGTAACCACGAGACCCCAAATTAGGACCGATAACATTGCATATTCGTCTATGGTATTTTGTCGAGATGAACATCGGGGACACCAGACCATATATGGCAATTGTATTCCAAACAGAGATCGAGAAGGGAAGCGTTGCCGTCCGGATTACTGGAGAAACGTGTAGTAAAGTCAACCACTTGCGGGAGGGATTGAGTGATTGAAAAGTTATCAGAAATGGTATCGAGTGCACAACAGTCTTGAGAGGAAGAAGAACGGTATAGAAGGAAGAGATATCTTACAGTTTTGAGGGGAGATAGACGAATAGTCTGGGGATTTAAAAGATAGTTCCCTAGCAAACGGGAGATGATCTCTATGTATAGACCAGTGTCGATGTTGTTTAACTTCGGTTATCGTATGAGTATTGGTGTTTGAAGTCTAGCAGGAACCCCCATAACAATATATTAACTACGGAAGACGATGTGTTGATGTTAAACATAGAAAACAGCAGAGAAGCCTTGGCAGAAATCGAAAAGAAAGAACGAACCAGAGTATATCGATGTCAGCGATATGAACAGCACAACATATGAATTACAATTTGGAGACGGCAAATTCAAGCAAATACAGAAATTCTAAGAAATGTTTCGAAGACAAGGGAAAATGTGATAATGAAATCCGTAGACGTATTGGAATTGGGAAAGATGCCTTCCAGAACCAAAACAAAGTATTAAAAACAGAAAAAAATATTTCATTCTTATTCTGATTCTTCATTTAGAGTGAATTCGAGGAAATATTTTTTTGGAAAGGTGAATACGGAAAATACCTTTGTATAGTTTTATTTTATAGTTTTTAAGGTAGGGGGCGGTGTTTACAGCATTTTCTTTCTTTGTTTCTATCTTTCTTGCGTTTCTTTTTACTCTCTCTTTCTTTATTTCTTTCTATCACTTTCGCTTCCTTTGTTTTTTTTTTATCTTTTCTTGTGTCTGTTCTTTCTTTTTTCTTTTTCGTTTATCTTTCTGTTCTTTCTTTCTTTTTCTCTTTCTGTCTTTCCTTTTTTTCTTTTCGTCTATCTTTCTTTCTTTCAACCTTTTTTCTTCTGTCTTTCTTTCTTTCGTTATTTCTTTTCTATTCGTCTTTCCACCTTTCTTCGTTTCTGTTTTAATTTTTTTCTTCCTATTTTTACATTCTTTCTTTCTTTCTTTCTTTCTTTCTTTCTTTTGCCTTTTATATCTTTCTTTCTGTTTTCTTTCTTTCCGTTGTTTGTTTCTTTCTTTCTTCCTTTATTTCTTTTCAATTTTTCTTTCCACCTTTCTTCATTTCTGGTTTTCTTTTTCTTTCTTTCTTTCTTTCTTTCTTTTCTTTCTTTCTTTCTTTCTTTCCATTCTTTCTATTTTTCTTTATTTTGTCCCTCTTTTCTTCTGTCTTTCTTTTATTCTTTACTTCTTTCTCCTATATTTCTTTCTTTTCATTACTCTTTCTTTCTTTTCTTTTGTTTCTCTCTCTCTGTCTCTCTCTGTCTCTCTCTCTCTGTCTCTCTCTCTCACACACACATACGCAGCCTAACTTTCTCCGAAGCAGGAAATCTCCCATTCACACCATGCATACATTCTCAAACATGCTTCATTCGTTTGCAATTTTTATTTTTCTAGGTGCTTTTGTAATGGTCTCTCTCTATATACTCATATATATATATATATATATATATATATATATATATATGTATGCACATAAAAGAAAAAAGTGGACACTGAGGTCAACACCAATTGGCAACAGTATACTTCATGCTTGAACGAAAACTTATGGCCATGTCCGCTGTGCGGCGGTTTGACAATTTATCTGTGGTGTCCAATGGGGCATTATGGATAACAAGGTCAGCTATTTCCGGTTTATTGTATTATCATAAAGCTTATTGGATAAGCGACAGCAGTTACATTGCGAATTATTATGACGGCTATAGTGTAGAAATAGTCGTGGGCAAGAATTAGGTTATTTGTAGCTATTGTATAATCTATAATTATTTATAATTAAGAAATTAACAGATAAATAAAATAAATACATAAATTACGAAACTACGAAAGCTTATATATCCACAACTATATGCGTTTAATAATAATCAACAACAAATAATTAATGAATAAATACGAAACAGCTTAAATAATCAATAGCAAATAATGTTTTAAAAGCTAACAAACGACACTATTGTAATGGCAAAAGTACACAGGTGTAGACTTTAAGAAAACTTTATTCAACTGAGAATACAAGGTTCAGGTATAGTGTCTTTTACAGTCCAAGTAAAAAGAAAGAGCTCTCTCAAAGAGGAGAGTAACAAAACAAGGGGAGACCACTCTTGATTATTCATAATAACTATACAACGAAAGATCATTGTAAATAATTTTTATCTATCTATTTTTCGGTTTTGAATCATTTTCATATTACTTACTTAAATATAATTATGAAATATTTCTTTGTGTGTATACACTATGATAATTGTTCATTTACAAATACCTTGTGAAGTCGCAGCAACATGGTATTTAACTGAGAATACAAGGTTCGTGTATAGTGTCTTTTACAGTCCTAGTAAACAGAAAGAGCTCTCTCAAAGAGGAGAGTAACAAAACAAGGGGAGGCGGCAACATGGTATTTAAAAATGAAGAAAGAGATATAGCACAGAAAACAAGAAAACCTGAGGTCTTTAAAAATGGCTGGTGATAGCCGAAGGTATGCAGAGACTGGAAAATTCATATTTAAACATATACTAGAAAAGAGGAAAACGGGACAATTACAGATGATAATAAATATATAAAATCTTTAACAAAGAACTTGTGTTGGTCTTTAAGCGACCTTTCATAAGTTTTAACGCGTTAAAAACGCGAGAAGATTTATTTGCATATAAGCTGGTCAATATTAAAATATTAGGTTGGTGCAAAAATAATGACGTAATAATATCGTTTTTTGACGTATTTTTTAACGTCAAAAAACGACATTATTACGTCATTATTTTTGCACCAACCTAATATAAAGCAACATGGAGAAAAGTTCTACTAACGCATGCGCGTACTGGAAGTTTCACAGAGACACCATTCCAGTCATCATATAACACTCACAATAAAGAACAATTTAAACTGCAACTTCAAAAATGTGATTTATCTAATGAAATGCACAAAATGCAAGAAGTCATATATAGGTATCAGCCAAGTACTAAACAACAGTTTCCATTCAGAAAAGCAACATCAAATCACCAGACGACAGAAAACTGTTTGTATCACAACACATCTATAAATGTAATCAAGTTAAATTTAAAATTATGCAAATATATCAAACAGGCAATTATTCTTACTTACAAATACAAGAGAAAAAAAAACTACATAGACATATTTAAACCAGCGCTAAACAGATAATACCCTCCACAGATAAACACACAGCATACGCATATAATGGCCGAATACATTAGTCGGATCACACACACACATCTATGGAGAACGAATATATATATATATATATATATATATATATATATATATATATATATATATACATACAGCCAAGAACAAAAAACAATAGATTAATCACCAACATACACACACGAACCCTACACAACAAGTCTATGTGTATATATATATATATATATATATATATATATATATATATATATATATATATATATATATATTCCTTTATAATAAAACAATATATATGTATGAAGAAGGAATATGTATATACATACTATCAAAAACACACACGCATACACAATACACAAAGATGGAGAAAATTTTAAAAGATACAGGGGTCATAAAAAGATAAGAACAAAGAGCTTCTTCCTTCCCCCTTTTCTCTGAAGAATTGATAATTGTTTTATTTCCCCATATCAGAAGAATATTTTCGCCACAGGTCCAAGAAAAAAAAATTGGATTACTACTACACACATAAGAAAATGGTTAAATATCGGAAAACATAAGGAAAATTAATTCCTTTTAATAATATGGGGAAATAACCAATCTTTGCCTGATGAAGGTCGCGAGAACGGAGACACGTGTAGCAAAATATGGAAAATAAAATATAATATATATTTAAATAAATCCACATTATAACCAAAAACGTTTGCGGTTTCTCTTTAAATTATACACTTTTCTCTCGTTGGAAAACTATAACCTCTTTATATATATATATATTCCGGAGAGGTTAAACTTCGCGATAATAACACATGAGGCTGTCGTTCGGAGTTTCCGTGGCAAGTCTTCTGCATCGTTACTTTTTTATCGACAGATCCAAAAAGTGTGGATGGTTCGACACTAGCTTTTAACACTTGAAACAAATCATTGTGTTGCTTTTCTGACAAATACATCTAATTAGTTCCACTCTTATCCGGCTACCGCGGAAAACTCTACGGAACAACATTAACTTCATCTTGGCTCTTAGAATGTACGAACTCCCCAGGACAACAACTAAGCAACAGAAAGAAAAACAGCCCTGGTCGCATTGGAGCTAAAAATAGTACAACATTGATATAGCTGCACTGAGAAGTAACCATTAGTTGACTACATGAAACGAGAAAACAAAATAAGACATCTAACAGTGTTCCTGCTGCACTCGCATGCAATACTTTCTCCTGTACTGTTTGTGGTCCTTTTGTGCAATTCTCGAGCCGCTCTCAAAAGTCATAAGCATGCAGATAATTAGTTAAAATTAAATTAATTAAATATATATATATATATATATATATATATATATATATATATATATATATATATATGTATGAGCGAAGTGATAATTTTCTTTTACGTTTTGCTTAAACTTACCTATATTTTGAATGAGTGGACGGATGACAGTATGCAACGGATAGTAAAGTTGTTTGAAGCATTTTTATCGATCGCTTTCTCCCTTTAGGTCATGGGTCGTGAATATAGATAAACAAATAGACATTAGATTCTTTGAACGGATCTTACATACACTAATCCTTGATTTACATTTACTCTTATAGAAAGGTTATAGGGAGTTATTACCGACATACCGTACGCAACTTACCGGTAAGTTGGTTAGAACTAAAAAAAAGCATAAACAATATGACATCCTCATCACCTTCCGAAAACATAAAGTATAAACAATATGACATCCACTTTACCTTCCGAAAACACAAAGCATAAAAATATGGCATCCTCTTCACCTTCCGAAAACACAAAGCATAAACAATATGACATCCTCTTCACCTTAGAAAACACAAAGCATAAACAATATGGCATCCTGTTCACCTTCCGAAAATGCAAAGCATAAACAATATGGCATCCCTTTCACCTTCCGAAAACGCAAGCATATACAATATGACATCCTCTTCACCTTCCTAAAACACAAAGCATAAACAATATGGCATCCTCTTCACCTTCCTAAAACACAAAGCATAAACAATATGGCATCCTCTTCACCTTCCAAAAACGCAAGCATAAACAATATGGCATCCTCTTCACCTTCCGAAAACTCAAGCATAAACAATATGACATCCTCTTCACCTTCCGAAAACGCAAGCATAAACAATATGACATCATCTTCACCTTCCGAAAACACAAAGCATAATCAATATGGCATCCTCTTCACCTTCCGAAAACGCAAGCATAAACAATATGGCATCCTCTTCACCTTCCGAAAACTCAAGCATAAACAATATGACATCCTCTTCACCTTCCGAAAACTCAAGCATAAACAATATGACATCCTCTTCCCCTTCCGAAAACTCAAGCATAAACAATATGACATCCTCTTCACCTTCCGAAAACACAAACAATATGTAAAGGTGAATAAGATGTCACAGTGTTTATGCTTTGTGTTTTAGTTCTAACCAAATTACTGGTAAGTTGTCTAAGGTATGTCGGTAATAACTACCTATAACCTTTCTATACGATTAATGTAAATCAAGGATTATTGTATGTAAGATCCGTTAAAACAATCTAATATATATATATATATATATATATATATATATATATATATATATATATATATATATATGTATGTACAAATGAAGCATGACGCAAAGAACAAATGGAGTAAAATTCCACTGTTCGTAGCATTTACTTCTTAAAAGAAGTGTTCAATACAATATTAATATATTATTATTTCTATTATAAGTGATTATGATAAAAAAAAATTTTGAAATCGATACGCAAAAAACTTTCATGTTTCATAACAATAAAAAAGCTTTCATAATACTGAAACATGAAATCTTTTGTGTAGCGATTTCACCGTGTTTTTATTATAATCTCATAATAAAATAATAATAATAATAATAATAATAATAATAATAATAATATATATATATATATATATATATATATATATATATATATATATATATATATGTATGTATGTGTGTGTGTGTGTGTTAATTAAACATTCATGGTACTTTATACTTATTCTACCTGCCACGGATTCTATCAGCCATTTTGGTTCTTTATTTCGTTCTCACCGTACTTTTTCTGCTGTCAAATTCTGCGCAGAATTCATTTTCTTAATTTCTTGCCGTGCTTTTTTTTCAGTCTAGTATCTTCCACTAATGTCTTCCCTTCCATCGTATC